CTGTATGTTCAAGATCCACTCAACACTTAAATTGATTTATCAGCAGACACCAACTGTTCCCAGTTATAAATGAAAGTTCTGAGAAGAAGCATCTTAGGTTATGAGCCCAGAGATCTGAATTTTACACCTGCCTCTACCTGTTCCACAGAAGTGGGCTTAGCTGACGGCCAAACCACTTTAGGTCTTACACTTGACCTGCATGAAACAAGGCCAGAAATACGTAAATCTGAGGTTAGATGGCAGATTTAAATTGAGTGGTATGTATGAGAGCCTCTGGCCTGCAGGAAGGAATTCCAAGTCTTTCCTGTGTGCAGTTAGTGTAACTACAGTAGTTTTCAAGCCTTGGTCAGATGCAGCCACCAGCCAGACCAATACACATTGTTGCCATGGGTGCTCGAACTCTTTTATGTGTAAATGTTCTATAATCTGACTTTTTACTAAACCAAATTGATTTTGACCTCCATCTGGAGCTGCCTATGAGAAAGTTCAAGCAGCAACTTGACGTCAGTCTTGCTAATGTTTGTGTTAGAATGTTTTAGAGAGAACCAAGCTTTGGGATAAATTACGAAGTGAGTTCGTGGTTGTTGTCATTTGTTCATAATAGGAGAGGAGAGAAGATTTATAATCAACATTGTGTTATTTGTGGGATGCTAGTAAAATGGCTTCTCACACCCTGAACACGTGTCAGTTGGGCATAGAGAAGCAGCTGAGCTGTACAGCCGGGTAATACCACTGTCACACACAGAGCATCTACAGAGTGACTAAACTGCATAGACCTGTGCAGGAATTACTTGCATGAAGTGTAAACACTCCCTCCTGTGTTCCCTGAGAGTCATCTCTGTGTCTGTTCTTCCCGGATCTGAGCTCCCCTGAAACCTGAAATATGGGTAACCGCCAGCTAAAGTGCTCTCTCTAAAAATCAGCAGTGACCATGTGAAGAACAAGTGACCATGTCCAGGCCTTCTTATCTCAGCTTCTCTTCAGTATACAGCACTGTACCTGCAGCTTCTAAGAAAAAATCTATTTGATACAATTTTTCCGTCTATTTCAGCAAAATCTTTCACTGTGAGCCCTCAATTCATTCATTCACTGAATATTTGCTGACTTCCTATTACATACCTGACACTAGGTACAGCAAGTCCCTGCCCTAAAAGCCACTACAACCCAGTGAGGGGGGACATAAAAATGAGCTGCAGTTTGTATGTATCTGACATATCTGCTGGGGTTAAAACGTGGCAATAGTGATAACAGAAGTCTTTATGTAAGAGGTGAGTTCCCAGATACACACCTGCCTCAAAGAATGATGGGTATGAGCCAGGTAGGTATTATGGAAAGAGCATTCTAAGCAGAGGAAGCAAAGGATGTGGTCCTACACGGAGAATCCAGTGTCATCATAGCAGAGTGAGCAGGAGGTCAGAAGCAGCCCGTGAAGGCAGAGACTAAGCTGTCTCCCGCCAAGCTGAGTATAAAGGCCCTGTAGGGTGCAAGCAGGAAAATGGCAGTCTAACTCCTATTTTAAACGGATCCCACTGGCTTGCTCTGTTCATGACAGTCTGTAAGATCAGAAACACAGAGAGCCGATGCAGAAAGACTGCCAAATTCCAGGCAAGAGGGAATGTGGCCTGGAACGGTTTGACAACAAGGAAGCAGTGAGAAATGAGGTTCTGAGTCAATTTTGAACACAGGGTCAATGGGAATTGCTGAGCTATCAGATGTTAAGTGTATGAGAAAATGGGTTTTGGCATAAACAAGTGGAAGGTACAGTTGCCAAAGCAGGTTTAGGGGATGTGGTTGAGGAGCCCATTTTTATAGCTGCCATGTTTAAAATGTTTATCAGGTGTCCAAATGGACTTGCCAAGATTCATTTAAACATAGAAGTTCGGGGCTGGAGATGTGGCTCAGCAGAACACAGCTTATCTAGTGTGCACAAGGCATGACACCTGAGGTTGACCTCTGCCCTCCCTTCTGAGTCTCCAGGCTTTTTATTTAAACAGAGACCAGTGAGAACAATTGTGTATTTGACTCCAGCTGCACTCAGCTATGCAGGCACACATTCGGAGAGGGAACTGGACTGAGCCAAGGTGGTGACTAATCTAAGAGACTATGACCCAGAGAGATGGGGAGGGGTCAAAGGTGATATTTGACAATGAGCTGCAGTCTCTCAGCATAACAGGTAAGAAGTGGGGTGAGGGGAGAGGCATGAGAAGGAAACAGAGAAAGACAGTTATGTGAGCAACTATAGGTCCAAACTGAAGAATTCCTAGAATCCAAAAAACTGGATAGAAATAAGTGGGACAGTACAACACCAGGACAGACAGATGTTATGAAGGGTGCTAAATGAGTCCCTTGAGGTTACAGTCACTTATAAGGTAATTCATTGGCCTTTGACTGAACAAGGTAATGTTCCCATGACAGGGGAATAGACTTCGGTCTCTCTGGCAACCTGAGTTATATTTTATTTTCTCATCATGGCTATTTCTTAAAGTCCCAAACTTGGATTTGGCCTAGTAAGTAGGTGTAGGCTTGGTTAACTATATATTCTCAGGTCACAGAAAAGGATTTTGAGAAAATAATTCTGCACCACACCCATTCCCAGATAATGGATGAACCTTAAGTACTCGGAAAACATTCATTTGTAATGTTGTCACTTTGCGCCTGACCTCTGCACTGTGTCTTCTCCCAACCATGGACAAGGGCAGGAGAGGGATACTCATCCCCAGGGTCAAAGATGGTCTTCTTTTTCCTGCTGGAAAAGTACAGATGCCTTTCCTTCCCTTACACAAAGCCTAAAGAATATAAACTCTGAATTGCATTCAAAGAAGACTTGGGTGCTGTTGGTCCAGATTTATTGTTAGTCTTGCTTATCTGGAAGGAAACTTTTGTTCAATTATATTTCTTCTAAAAAAAAAAAAAAAAAAGAAGCACAACTGTATCTGAGTTCAGGATGCGTCAAGTCACTGAAGTATGTGCTTAGGTTTTGCTTCATTCCTACGCCTGGCTCATCTGTATGATCCCACCTCCCTGGGAATGGAAGGGGTTGATGAGGGAAGAGAAGACAGAGCCAGAGAGAAAACTACTCACATTAAGACTTTCAGCTCTAAGCCAGAGCTCCTTCCCACACAGCAAAGCCCAGGGCTTAGAACTGAGAATCTCCAGTCCTGCCCAAAGCTTCATCTCATGTATGCAAAGCCTCATGACATTATCTGGCCCTCTACAGTGTTTCTTCATTCTTACTTAGTATCAAAAAGAAAATAGGGGACTGGGGATGGTATGGAGGTTCAGTGGATAAAGATTTTGCTATGCAAGTACAGGACCTAGATCCAGACTCCAGCACCCAAATAAGTTTGGTATAGTAGGTGCCTGTGACCTCAGAGCTACAGAACAGAGACAGGTGTAACTCATAGGCTCATTAGAAAGTGCTAGATTCAGTGAGAGACCCTGTCTCAAAAAAATAAAGTGAAAACTCAGTTGAGGAAAACAACCTGACATGAATCTCAGGCAAATGCAATTGGACAGGCATACACACACACACACAAATTACACACATGCATGTATCACTCACCGACAAGCATACATCACACACATACATCACACACACAAATACATCGCACATATTCATATACACATGCATATCATACACATATTCATACACACACATACAAACATGCATATCACACACATACACGTTCACACAATTCACACACACATATCACATATAAGCATATACCACACACATACATCAGACACATGCATACATCACACACACAGAGATGAAGAGAGGGGGAGAGGGAGGGAGGGAGGGAGAGAGATAGAGATACAGAGAGAGAGAAAGACAGAGAGAGAGAGAGAGAGAGAGAGAGAGAGAGAGAGAGAGATCACAGACAGAAAGGAGGCATTGCAATGCAATGTGGCACAGTCATAGTGTGACCAGCAACTTCCCTCAAAACCAAGGCAGTGGGGGGAGGCCCAGGCCCATCCCTCTCCCAGCATTCCCTGACACAAGAGCTCACCCGGTACTTGTTTGGATTGTGTCTCTCCACGCAGGCTCCCTTGAGGCAGAACTTGCCTTCACCACAGCTAGTACCATCTGCCCAGGGGAAGTGGCGGGTCTGGCACACCATCTGCCCCTTGGCCTTGCCAGTGCACCACAGCTTTGTACAGTACTGCATATATGGGCAGGGCTTAGAGCCCACCCCAAAGGCCAGCTCACACTGCTGGCTCAAACTGTAGCTTGTGCCTGGCAGGTCCTCAGGCAGGGTGATGGGCTTGCTGGGCTGGTCCAGGAGACAGTCACCTGCATAGATCCAAGGAGATTTGTTCAGACAAGCTGGAAAAGGTGAGGCCTGGCTGGCTTATAATGTAAATGGTAGGGAGAAAATGAAGGAAGCGATAACTAAAATAGATCTGAGTCAGAACCCAAGTCCTTGTCACCTTTCAGGCACAGAGGACATCTAAAGGGGTAGCAAACATTGCCACCAAGCCCTTCCCACTCATCCCCACTCCTCTCTGCCACCTGGCTTACCATGCCCACTGTCCAGGAAGTCAGTAATGATGGCAGCACTGCAGGCTGACCAGGGGTTGGCACGGTCAATCTGGATGAGTGTTGGAGACATCATGTGGTTGGCTCTGAGCTTCCCAAACACCTCCTCACACACCTTCACATTGTCATGAGGCATGTTGAACACATGGCCTGTGGGATGGAGCAAAATGATTCAGGAGGCAGGAGCGAAGATCTGAGAACTGGCAGGAGGGGCCGCAAGAGGCAATGGGAGAAGCAAGAAAGCCCTGTGATGGTTTTCAAGCTGGTTATCAGTATTGTCTGCTTTGTAGATGTCCTACAGACCCTGTGCTTATGACTCCAGTCTCCTCTATCAGGCTGTGAGCTAGGTAAGGACAGAAGAATGTCATCTTGTCTTTAACATATTCTTCCCAAAGTACCCAAGTGTCAACTGGGCTACAGCAATTAGAAAAAACTGAAAGCCCATACCAAGGCAGCTGCTGGTCCCAAGGAAGGATTCTGACATCTCCAGAAGAAAAGTAGCAATGGTAAATGCTTCCTCTCCCACCAAAGCACCCAGAACAAATCCAGATCAACTGGAGAGGTAAGTTTCCCTCCCTCCCAGCCTTACCCAGCTCATGAGCAGTGGTGAAGGCTGACGGAAGCCCATCATCCTCGATGACAGAGCAACTTCTCTTGGGATCACACATGGTGCCCACATCAGCCATGCCCAAGGTGTCACAGGTGGTAGCCCCGCATAGGTCCTGCCAGATGGAGGAGATGAAAAACCAGACTAAAGTTAGAGATCGTAACAGAAGGGGCCTGAGGAAAAGGAAGGGCATCCTAGGGGCATTTGTAATTGCAAGCTCAGCCAGAGCTTTCATGCTAAAAGCTTGTGAACTATTCATGGAATCAACCCAGGCCAAAGGAGGTGGCCCCAAGAAGAAAGCTGTGTGGCTCACAAAGAGTGTGCCCTACCCAGGGAAGTCCTGTGAGAGGAAATTAGGAGGTACAAAATTAAACTACAAGGGCCACATCTTTATATAGAGAAGGTCAGAAAAACAGTGACTCCTACAGCAGGGTGAGGTTCTGATCATGGCTCTCTGAGGCATGCTGGGACAAAAAACAACCACATTCCGTATTCACAGGCAGCTCTGGGCAGTCTCTATTTTTGTAGAGTGACTGACTTTTGGACAACTATGAATTAAGTTAAGATTCCCAGCCATAGGTTGGCCAGCCAAAGATCTACCCCTGCCAGAGACTTGGCTTCCTTGAGCTGACAGGAAGCAGAAAGAGGTGGACCTGAGCCACTGTGTACACAGTTTAATGAGCTACCAAAGCTCAAGGGGAACATGGGCTCAAGGGTTGCTAGGGATAAAAGACAGAGATCATCACCTAAGTGGAAGGATCCCTCCTTTTTATCGAGAAGCCTGATGCTGCAGAAGCCAGGCCTCCCAACAGCACACTGTATTAGGAAGTATTTCCAGGGGATGCTAGAGTGAAAAAACGGGGCTCCACAGATGGAAATCTCAAAGACTTCATTCAGCGTTATAGGCCATGGATGCGTCTAGTAACCTTGAGAACTAAGAAGTTGGAAATGGGATAAAACACCCGAGCACAATGTGTTCCCCTGAGAAGATGGATGTTAAATGAATCACATCAACAAACTCTTCTTTATGTTATTGTCTTTAAAACATATGGAGATTGGGTCTTCCCAAGAGTCTTAGGAGGCAGATATACTGCCTTATCTATTTGCAAATGATGACAACTAAGGTGCATAATTAATCACGGTCATGGTTCACTAAGTTCTGACACCATGCATGCATTTCACATGCATGACTCCATCTGATCCTCACTGCAGTCCACTAAAGCAACGGCTAGTTATCCCCTCCCACAGACAAAGAAGCTGATGCTTGGGGAGTCTCACATCACACTCAAGAGTCATGATCTGAGGCTCTATGACTGGGGATTTGGATGCCACAGCCAGTGGCTCAGCAATACTTGAGAATAAGATGTCATATTCTTCTGTGAAATCTAGGGGGTCAAGGTAAGTGTTCATGCAGAACTCTACTCAGTTTTGTTCCCTTCATGCGTGTGTGTGTGTGTGTGTGTGTGTGTGTGTCTGTATGTGTGAGTGTGGGTATGTGTCTGTGTGTGTGTGTGTCTGAGTGTGGATGTGTGTTTGTGTGTCTCTATGTGTGTTTGTCTGTGGGTGTGTGTCAGAGTGTGGGTGTATATCTGCATGCATGTCTCTATGTGTGTATCTCTATGAGTGTATTTCTGTGTGCATGTGTGTCTGTGTGTGTGAGTGTGGGTGTGTGTGTGTCTGTGTGAGTGCATATCTATGTATGTTTGTGTGTGTGTCTATGTGTATTTGTGTATGTGTCCATGTGTGTTTGTGTGTGTGTATGTGTGTTTGTGTGTGTGTCCATGTGTATGTGTGTGTGTCTGTGTGTGTCTGTGTGAGTGCATATCTATGCATGTTTGTGTATGTGCCCATGTGTGTTTGTATGTGTGTCTATGTATGTTTGTGTATGTGTCCATGTGTGTGTGTGTGTACATACATATGCTGTCCTGGAGGGAGGTGGGAAGCAACAGGGTTAGTGGGGCCAGAGGCATGGGTCATAGTACAGAGAGAATCAGCAAAGTTTAATCCAAAGCACTCAGAAGTTTACCACCCGAGCAGTCAAACTTGGCTTCCCACAGGCAGGTGATAGTCACACCTCCTAATGAGTTAACAGTTTTTCTGGCCAGAGAAAACCATGAGGGTGGCCAGCCTGAACCCAAGGGGTCAGAGTCAGTGACAGGCACTATGAATGTCCAACCTTTGTTTTACTGCCTGTGTGAGTGATATACCTCTTTCACTTCCAGGAACTTCACTAGAGACTTCAAATTCCCTTTTTTCTTTCCTTTCCTTTCCTTTCCTTTCCTTTCCTTTCCTTTCCTTTCCT